GGAACTGCAGATGAGTCAGTAAAGCTGCGCTCTATGAGTCAATAGAGATAAGTACTACTAGATTTGAATCAAAGATGAAAGAGGAAATGATGTCCCATGCCACCATGCCCATCACAACAGCATTGGATGCTAGTAAAAGTACAAGAGAACAGGAGGTGAAGGCTAAGGGATACTAGCTACTTGTCTTGGTATATATACTCTAACCTAGCCTGCTTAGCAATACTACAAGTGCCTCATAGGAATATTAGTAAGATGAGGAAGGGACTATGAGTTGTGCTTGGTAATCGACGAGTAAACTTTAGTAATACAGGAAGAAAGAAAAGAATGTCCTAGAAGTACATTACTAATCATAACATTAGCTCCTGTTTGAGATGACGAGCTCTAGGAGGATTTCTTCAAGCATGGTCTCCATCAAGCTGGATAAAATTAGTCGCACTATTGTCAGGAAAAGCTTGCACTAGATGTTAGTGAGTAATCAGACTATTTGCACATGGATAGGGGAAGTTGCTTCATTAACTAGAGTTACCAAAGATGCACTTGATGTCCTCGATAGATGCAATATGGATACACGTGAGTGAGGAGAGGCAGCTGCTGAGAGGAGCATTGGTAACAGTGGAGATGTGATATTTGCGCTCAAAAGAAAATGCAGATGCGGTGCAAATAATGGATCAAAAGAGTTCAGATCGGTGAACACAGGTACAAAATCTGGCAGATGGAGGGTTGCATGGCACATGAACACATCGCTCTGCTAGATCATCAGCAGTGGCTAGTACTTTGCCATATTCAAGGTTGCTAGGGTTGATGTTCTTGTAGTATGTCTTCCAGATGTTGTCCACCATTTCGACGGTACTCTGATTGTTGTTCACATAGGCATATGCTGTATTGGTGTGACTGGCAAAGAGGGTGCCAATACGATTAATGCATCTTGCAAGTGTGGTTGTTCTTTTGCTGTAGTTCTCGCAAGTCATTGAGAACTATTTGCACATCATTTGCCAGCTCATCGAAGGTATCTGGAAAAACTCACAATGTTAATTACTACTAAATAGTACTAATTAACACTAGTTAATATAGTAACATTAATTAACTGACCCCCTTTATTATGCTTATATTTCTAATAGTAAATTAACACTAATGTAGTAATTTATTCATGAACTGTTCATGAGCTGTTCATTAGCTATTCATTTGATATTCATCAACTGTTATTTGGTGTTAATGAGCTGTTATCTCTTGTTAATAGACTGTTATTTACTATTAATTGACTGTTGATTAGCTGTTATTTCAGTATTCTTAGCTTTAAAATCAATGTACCAAACTCAAATTTGATTCTATACAGATTTCTTATGCTATACAACATATTGATAGCTCTATACAAGCATAATATTCAGAAAAAGAAAAAAATGGCCCCAATGAGAATTGAACACCAGTCTCACTACTTTCAAGCTAAAATAGGCCCAGTTCATTTTCCTCTACATCATGTGCTCAAGTGCCATCATGCTTTGCAGAGGACATGCCTCGCATATCTATCTTCTCTTTGTAGCCTCCAGTAGCAAATAAATTTGAGGCATCAAACTCTTTAGAATATATGCTATACATTATTGATGCCTCAATTTTGCGAAAAATTGCTCTTGTTGTCATGAAGAAAGAGTTACAAGAGTACAACAGTGGGACTGACATAATCAATAAGCTTAGTGACTGTTTCACGAATATTTGTTGCTGGGCAAGTGAAGGCTGGTAACAAACTCAGTAAGACAATACAAATGCCTAGGCACAAGAAATGAACTTAGGTGGCACTTCAGAATCTTGCCTTATCATGAACACATGAGACAAGGCACAAAAAAGTCAGCACAACAGATGGGAATAAGAAAAATGTGCGCCAGGATAGTTGAAGGAAAAGAGACAAACTTACACCTCTAAAACAGAGAAATCTTCCTTATCTTACTCCAGAACAAGTCATGGAGCATCGGCAGAGGACATTTGAGGACATCTCCAGAAAAACATGGATCGACAGTTCTACCCTGCTTTCAAACACCACCGTAGTGGCTTCAGATCCTGTAAACGTTACGATGCCAGTTATAAATGCAGCGAACGCCACCCAAGCACATACCTTTGCATTTTGCACATGCTCTCGAGCAGTTTACCATCGCCCCACAGTGGAGGAGTAATCCGATATGGACATCATCACTGCTTTAGAGCGCAGCAGAGACCTGGTCTGGCAGCGAATACCTATTGGATGGGTGCTGCATATAGACGAGGTATTTGATGATATACCTCAGAGCCACATGGACAAGATACAGGAGAGGTTAGAAAAGCGGAAGCGAGAGAAGAAGAAGCAGAAGAAGAAAGCGAAGTCACCCATTACCCCCTGCTACACAAAGCCTATCACAGAAGCACCCCCATCAAAGCACATATACCATCCGGCACCTTCTATTAGAGATGCTAAGGCTGCACACACAGATTTGAGCAACCTGCTTCAACCAAAAAAGAAGAGTAGAATCGGCTACCTGCACTTTAATGAAGATGATCACCTGTAGCACCATCTCGAACAAATGAGAATGCTCTTGTACCGCTACATCAACGGCATCTCATTCTCACTATGGGCATGAGCCAATTTCAGACCACCTGAAATGTCCCGGTCAAGTCATCAGAACGGTTTCCTTTCCGGGGACTTACTGGCAACTTACTGGCAATCAGAAATGATGAATTTATTGTCATTTTCATAAAGATTTTAGGTGTAAGAAAATGCAAAATATTGTGTAATCTAAAATTGTCCTAAAATGTCTCGAGATGGTTAAATGAGTGGCACATGTTGACACAGCAGAAAGAGCCAGAAAAGCTCCTATTTCTGACAACTTTGTGGCACATTTCAGGACGCATGAAAGAACATATGCAGATATCATTTCAGAGGCGCCAAAACCCAAATTTTCCGAATTGCAAAAATTACCAAATTAGATTAGATTTTTGCCTCATGTCAGCCACGAAGAAAGACTCTGGACAAAGATACTTTCTGGATCACTGATATGATAACTGCGGGGCACATTTTTGATACATTTCAGGCATATTTTCTGTTCCATGAAATAGTTCAAACACATCCAGATACGCCCTTTGAAAGGCAAACTTTTTGAACCATTTCATGAAACAGAAAATTTTTCCTTGAC